TGCTGAAACGGGAAACCTGGTACAGTCCGCTGTGCCGGGCAGCGCCTGGACGTGCCGCACGGTACCCGGTCACGGGGCCGATCCTGGTGAATAAGCAGCATCTGGGAACAGAGGTGCCACCGGGAGTTATTTGGGGATAGAGGCAACCCGTCCCGGCGGCGCTCGGTGGCTTGGTTTATCGGTGTGCATACACTGGTAACACTGAGCGGAGTGGCAGAGGACAGGCTCGACCGCCTCGGTCCTTTTGGCTGCATGCAATGCTTTTAATGCCAGTTCTGTAAAACAGTGGTACCCAACGTTAAAAATAAGAAATTACCCTAGCTGAGTTTAAAATCTCAACACCTGGTAATAAAACCCTATGACTTTTCAAATACTGCACTAATATTGCACGGTTTGTACAGTTTGTATTGTACCGTACCAGTACTGACCGTTGAGGTCTGAGGGATTTCTGGACCACCAAACTGATGAAAGGCTCACAGCAAGTAAGTTGCCTGCTTTCTAACTGAAAAGCAGTGATTTAAGGCCATTCTTCTCCCTTGTTAATCCTTACAGTTTGCGCGTTTTTGTGTGGCTGCGAGAGTAAAAGAGTGGTTATGAGCTTGATAAACTGAAGTGCCCTCTGTATGGGGTTGAAGTATTTTTGTTAGGCAGAGACCACACGGTGGTGAGGTGCAGATCTGTTCAGAAAATGTATCATTTTGGCACAGGAAGACAACAGCTGTAGTAGGAGTTTGCAGTACTGTCTCTGATAATAGAAGTTACTTTCTTGTTTGCGTGTTGGTAGAGCTTATCAAAACTGTGAGATGTGCCCGTGTTACTGACTTTGCAGAGAAAGTCGTGAAACAGCCCGGCTAAGAAATACAAACGGCATCAGGTATCAGAGTTAATCAGAGAGATGACCAACAGATTACCACACAGTCTTTATGTACACCTGTAACGGATTCCAGCCATACTGCCTGCTGCAGGACTGGAATATGCTTAAATGTGCAGTGATGATGTTAGCATAAACCTGTTCTGCATGCAGCAGAACATGGCAATGAACCGCTTTCTGTAAAATAAAACATTGCTCAGTGGTAACAGTAAGTGAATATTCTCAGTTTTCTTTCTCAGTTACAACGATGCTTATTTTTCACTTGGTCTCCTAAACAGCAATATATCCAAAAGCGTAATTATAGATGTGTATCTGTAGAAGCTTAATTAGTGTTTGTGTCTGGAATGAAGTAAGGAACTTGTCTTGGCTGCAAAATCTCATGGATTTTTCTTTCTGGATTACTTTTCAGGTAGATCAGTTTCCCCGTTTGATTCACCTTGTGACCAAAGTCTTACTCAAAGGCATTGTAGGGACAGAAACCTCCTTAGTAGAAATGCTACTAAAGAGCTAACCATGAGCTCAGTTTTTCCACTGGAAGAATTTTAAAAAGCATTAGTAAAAACACTTATTACTGATTCATAATACTCTATTTCTAGCTTTCAATTGAGGGAAATGCCACGTAAAGACAACTAATCATTTTATTACTCATGCAAAGGATAATGCTCCTATGACGAAATGTAGTAAAGATAATAGGATA